TGTTATTTTACAGCGAAAAACAACAAAGACAATAAATACTAAGACTACGGTCGACTGCCCGCAGTCCACCATAGTCTCGGGGACTACACCCAGTGGGTGCACTTTGCGTGCCCCCACCGGTTATGATCCCACTCGACCGGCCCGCCGGAGTCGAGTGCAGGGAGTAAAAAAAAGAGAGAGAAAGAAGAACTTAGACCATAGAACTCAGACCACAGTCGACTGCCAGCAGTCGACCACGGTCTCGGGGACTACACCCAGTGGGTGCACTTGGCGTGCCCCCACCGGTTCTGATCCCACTCACCCAGACCGAGTAGAAGAGACAAACTACCAGTTCGGTTTACACTCGACGCGGCCAAACCACATCGAGCGAAAGAATCAAAATACAAAGACTACAGTCGACTGCCAGCAGTCCACCGTAGTCTCGGGGACTACACCCAGTGGGTGCACTCAGCGTGCCCCCACTAGTTCAAAAATTCAATCAACGCACCCAGTGGGTGTACAGATGCAAAGATTTTCGGAAAGAGAGTCTTCAGATAGCATATCCTAACAGAACAAGCGGTGACCAACTAACCTGAATGTTACTTTGAAGAGCCGAGCTGGCATCGTAGGCGGCCTGACTGGCGTCCCGCACCGTCTTCATCTTCTCCATCATAATGCCCGCCTGGCGTATGGCTTCCTTGGCAGCATTCATTTCGTCCTCTGGGACATGATGGGTCGCGAAAACTGAAGGTGAGTCGACAGGGGCCTGAGCAGTCGACAAAGAAGGCAAGGCACTCGACAATGGCACGACGAAGGTAACAGAACCCCGATTGGCATCACCAGCATCCTGAACGACTGGTTCCGCCCTCGGCGTCGACTGTGGCACCTTGCTTGCAGGAGCTTGCCTATTTTTCCTCGTCAAAGGCCTCTTGGGCTCTTCATCATCATCATCGGGGAGGTCAATAATGTTAGGAGCTGTTCAAAGTTCAATCGCCAAAATCACATCACCCAATGGTACACATTGCAGTTGAGTCGACCAAATAAAGATAGAATGGCAGAAATCATACCCAGATTGGAAGTGACCGCATCCTCCATGACCTCATCCTCGTCCCTGTAAGCTGAGGTCCCAGAAGTAGCAGCGCTGCCAGTTCCAAAGTTCGTCTCGTTAAATCAAGAAAAAACAAACAACACGGGGCGTCGAGTGAATACAAAGGGAGACACTCACGCAGAAGCGACGGGGATGTCAATCTTAATCTTCGGCAACGCCTTCCGAGGTTTCGGCTCTGCAACTTTGGGATGCTTTGACGCTTTTTCAGTTGGGGTTGGTGAAGAGGTCCGAGGACGCTTTGAAGACTGACCAGCCTGAGCAATCGCCTTTTCACGGGCGCTCGGTCGTTCTTGGTTAAGCTTGGATCGCCTCTCCCTGCGAGGAGGCGACTCGACTTCTTCTTCGTCACTTGAGTCGTCACTTTCTTCGTCCCCTTCACCGTCAGAAAACCATTCGCCACTGTCGCCGCCGCTCGCCTCTCCTTCCAGGTCTTTCTCTTGCTCTCCGTTGGGCATTGAATACATTTCGATAAGAGCCTGAAAGAAAGCAAGAAGAATAAAGTCAGTCGACGCAGTATAGACAACTGCGCGAGTGAATTCAGATTACAATCAAAGCTCAGAATCGGACCTTCTCTGGTACATGGGACTGGTCGAATGGAGGAACTCTCCTAGATCCCCTGGGGTTGTCCTTGTTTCCGGTCATACCCGACAGCCACTTCTCCAGTGTGTCGTCATTGACCTCCTTCGGGTGAATCCGAGTGGAGTCGTCAAGACCCGAATACATCCACATCGGATGGTCTCGGGCTTGAAGAGGCTGGATGCACCACTGAAGGAAAACCTCCAAGAGATCCATACCGGTGACCCCGTCACGGATAAGCTGGACCACTCGTTCGACTAGCACCCTAACCTGCGCCTTCTCCTCTGGGAGCACCTTCAAAGAGGAGGGCTTCCTCACTCGGTCCATGGTAAAAGAAGGGAGGCCAGTCGACTGCCCTGGCGTCGGCTGGTCTTTGCAGTAAAACCAGGTCGACTGCCATCCGCGAACCAAGTCGGGAAGAATCATGGCTGGAAAGGAACTTTTCCCTCTCATCTGAACACCAAGACCCCCACACATCTGAATCAGTTGTGTTCTCTCATCACTCGGATTGTCCTTTTTCACTGTCTGAGAATGACATGAGAAAATGTGCTTGAAAAGACCCCAGTGAGGCCGACAACCCAAGAAATTCTCGCACAAAGACATGAAAGCAGCGAGATACACGATTGTGTTGGGAGTGAAGTGATGGAGTTGTGCCCCAAAGAAATTCAGAAATCCCCGAAAGAAAGGGTGAGGAGGCAAGGAAAATCCACGGTCGATGTGGGTGGCAAGGAGAACGCGCTCACCCTCCTGAGGTTGCGGCTCGGATTCCTTCCCCGGAAACCGCGCCGATCCATGGGGGATCAGCCCTCCTTCGGCTAGGTCGTCGAGGTCTTCTTGGCGGATCGCCGAGCGGATCCAGTCACCCTGGATCCAGCCCTTCGGCAGGCCGGCTCGCGAGGAAGATCCACCCCGACTGGTCGCCTTCCCCTTCGCCTTTGCCGTCATCTTCTTCGCCCGCTCCAGAGCCGCCGTCTTCTCCTTCCCCATCGTCGCCGGTGAGACGCGTACGGAGCGGCGGCGCTGGGGCGAGAGCGAGCGCGACGAAGAAGCCTGAAGAGGAGAAGAGGAAATGGGAACGCACTGTTCAAGAAACCCTTGTCCGACGCCTTATATGAGGTCGCTTCCGAGGGGCCGACTGGTAGGCCCGGGCGGTCCTGTCAAATCCCGTAACAATCGCGCGCGATACGTGGCGAAAAAGGTGGCACGGAGATCGAGGCGGCTCCGCCCTATCTCATCCGATTGCTGCGGCCTCCCCCGTCTCGCGCGCTTCCCAAAATTCGAATCCCGCTAAATCTGCGGTCAACAGAACAACTTGTCAAACGGAAGATCTCCTCCACGTCGTCACTCGGAGCCTTTCAAGTAAAGAAACTCACTCGACAAAAAACTAAGAATGGATCAAAGCAACTGAAAAGGAAGTTGCTGTCTTCACTCAGGTTCATTGATCCGAGTCGGAGAAGTTCTCAACTCCTTCCCCACTCAAACCTCGATCCATTCGGGGGCTAATGATGAAGCTATGTACCTAGGGTAGGGTCATGGACCTGTCCCAACTGCCCTACTCAAGGACATCTCTAGAAGAAATCACCTTTCAATCGACTCGGAGGTGTTCCACTCGACAGACTCGAAGACACTCGACCAAGAAGCAATCACTCGACCAAGATCCAACCACTCGACGGCCAGGAGACCTAAAGGCACTCCGCACGCTAACGGTCGGTTATTAAGTAGCTTTTATGGTCATCATAGCACTTTATTAGGGTGTTACCAGTAACGCCCGACCTTAATGTATTTAAAACCCTGCACAACTAAGGGCCGGAGGGGTCCGACGAACTCTATATAAGCCGCCCCCCTCCTCAATGTAAAGGGTTCGCACCCCTGTAATTTATACACGCATAATCCAGTCGACCGCCTCCGGGCTCCGAGACATAGGGCTATTACTTTATTCGAGAAGGGCCTGAACTCGTAAACCTCATGTGCTTACAACTACTCCATAGCTAAGACCTTGCCTCTACATACCTACCCCTACATTACTGTCAGACTTACAACCACGACACTATCTCCTGGCGGCAAAGCCGCCCGTGGTAGTGATGGACTGCCCACTCGACGGCGAAGAAGAGGAGGTAGATGCTCGCGATGAAGAGCACCCAAGCGCTGACCGCCACTCGGACAGCATCCGGACGAGCGGCCAGCAGCGTCTTCTTGGCCGCGGTCACGCTCACAGGAAGCAGCAGATGACGCGTCTCGCCGTCCATGGTGGATCCTGCCTTTTTCTGCGGGGAATCCATGGATCCGACTTGGGTGCGAGACGAAGGGGGAGAGGGAGGGGAGCGATGTGCTGGCTGGAGCGTGGAGGCAGGCGGCGGAGGGCTGTGGATGGAGGTGGAGATTGTGCTTTTTAAGTAGGGAAAGGGGAGGCGCCGAGCAACGCGCGCAGCTTGGCGATGCGAGCGGGGGAGACGAAGCAAAGCGACACCCACGACGTGTCGAGCCTGGGCTGCGCGCGCGCACACACACAGCCACAGAGGATTCTCAGCTGAGCCGGACGTACGATATGTAAACAGGCCGCATGTGATGATCGATCTGTTCTCGGCTCATGGGCAGGGCAAAGGAAACAGCGGGAAGCAGCGCGCATACCATCTTCGGCAATGCTGCTTAATTTCCTTGCGTGCAATGGGACGTGTGCAGTGCGCTATGTGGGTGAAGTGAAGAAGCCTGACACACACAAGCGACACACACATGCACATGGGTACATTGCAGTAAAAAGGACTGCGTAATTTACAACTGATGTACGAGTAACTTGTAGTAGCACCATACGGATGTGACCACGCACCCGCGTGCTTCCTGCACTTCTAGTAGAACCATGGATTGTGAGTGCTGAATCGAAGGTTATCAAAGCCGGCGCCACGTAGTACGTTATGGAGGTGCCGATTGTCCAATCGTTTTTCCACCTTGGCTACCACGTAATGTTTTCAAAGCAGAAAAACTTACGTTATGGATGAACACGCATCATTTATGTCCAACTAGCAACGACTGGATTTGTTCATCCTTTTCTAAAAAAACAAACTGGTTTTGTTCATTAGCGTGTGGGAAAAGGCAAGCAACATTTACGTCAGGTCACTGGAATTGCAGTGTTCCTCCGTACAAAATCTCAAAGTTACAGCAATTTGTCAATCAATCTTATTACCAGACGCGCGCGCACACACAACGACACTAGGGATAAATGGGACTCTTTATCTAACAAAAAATCTCGAGAAGATCGGATAGATGGAGCAAGCCGACGATCGGATCGACTACTTTTGCTTCTTCTTCTCTTTTTTCTTTTTGAGAATATCGAGTACTTTTGCTAGAAGTAGTGGCCGGGGCGGGGCAGGAGCACGAACAGGTCGATCCTGAACACGACCGTCTGCGGCGTCGGCGCGCTCACGACCTTCATGACGGAGTACCCGCGCGCCATCCTGAACACCCCGGTGCCGCCCACGACGGCGCGCTCCACGGCCGCGCCATCGAAGTCGAAATGGTACTGGCCCTGCACCGTCAGCGTGCTCCCGCGGCGCTCCCCGGCGGCGAACACGAGCGTGACGGTGGACAGGTAGCTCGGCCCGGCCCGGTCCGTGCCGACGAAGAAGCCCTGGAATCTGCCGACGAGGTCGGACCCGGGGCGCGGGCCGGCGCGGAGCTCGTCGTCGATCACGCCGGGCTCCCCGAAGGTGGCGTTGCCGCCCAGCGGGGACCGCAGCAGCGGCGACGCCACCGTCGCGTTCGCGCCCTCGAACCTCTCGTGGATGTAGAGGCGGATGCGGGTGGCCTTGCTGCCGGCCGCGAGAGCGGCGGGCGCCGGGGCGGACAGGACGAGGGCGACGAGCAGCGCCAGCTGCAACGACGGTGAGAAGGCCATCCCGCTGCGCAACAAGAACGTGGAGCTATGGCTGTAGCGGCTGGAGAGCTTGTGCGCGCGCCGTCGCCTGCGTTGAGATGTACGGTAGAGACTAGAGTTGAGATGGGTGCAGGATGCATGAGCGCACACAGAGCAAATATATACTGCGTGGGGTGGCGTTGCGCTCGTTCTCGTTAGAGTGGCCGCGCCGGGACATATGTCACGTACGTACAGGCGTGCGTTGGCCGATCCGCCCAGCTCGATGTTTTTGTCCGTGAAGATTGCTTCTTTGTAGCGCCGGCGGCCGGGGGACAGCCTGCAGCCTGCTAGCTCCTCCCGTGCGTCCCATCTCCGAGAAGAGGGCACGAAGCTACGAAGAGCGCGCGGGTCGAGTCTAGAGCACAGATCGGTGAATTTTGCCCTTCAAAAAAAGAAAAAGAATCGGTGACTTTTGCTGGTGGCTGCCTGATCACCGACTCAAGATGGGAACAGACTGCTAGGTCATGTAGCCGTGTAGGAACTTCTGAACTGCATGCATGTCCGCAACGACATTACAGGAAGGCCGCTGATCTGCGCCGGCGCACCGGCCCAAATTTGGATCGGTCGCATCCGCGCCGTACGATGCAAGGCATCTCGTTCGCCAGATCAGCTTCTCCGCTTCATTTTCCCACCCATCGTTCCGAGCGAGTAGGAGAAAATTTCCCTCGCCCCATCAAATCGACCTGTCATGCCCCGCCCACCACGACCACCTGCCCCACTCACCACACAGGTGTGACGCCCTCGATTCAATCGTACACTAATCATACACGCAAATGTGTACGACCAAGATCAAGGACTCACGGGAAGATATCACAACATAACTCTAGACACAATTTAAAATAATACAAGCTTTATATTACAAGCCAGGGGCCTCGAGGGCTCGAATACATCAGCTTGAATACAAACGAGTCAGCGGAAGCAATAATATCTGAGTACAGACATGAGTTAAACAAGTTTGCCTTAAGAAGGCTAGCACAAAAGCAACATCGATCGAAAAGGCAAGGCCTCCTGCCTGGGAGCCTCCTAACTACTCTTGGTCGTCGGCGTCCGTCACGTGGTAGTAGGCACCCTCGGGGTAGCAGCAGTCGTCAAAGGCGGCATCTGGCTCCTGGACTCCACCATCTGGTTGCAACAACCAGAAAGAAGAAAGAAGGGGGAAAAGGGGGAGCAAAGCAACCGTGAGTACTCATCCAAAGTACTCGCAAGCAAGGATCTACACTACATATGCAACATTATCAAAGGAAGGCTATATATGTGGACTGGGCTGCAGAAATGCCAGAATAGAGAGAAGGCCTAGTCCTATCGAAGACTAGCATCTTCTCGAACCCACCATCTTGCAGCAACAGGAGGGAGTAGAGTAGCATAAAGTAAGTAGTAGTAGTGTTATCAACCTCGGCCAGAGATCCTTTCTCGACTCCCTGCGAGAAAGCAATCCCAGAGCCATACTATCCAGTTATCTCCACAATCAAATCCTCATCACCATCCAGTTCTCATCACAAGTATCCAGTTCTAGTTGTATCGATCGGGATACAACTCCAAGTGTCCGTTACCGTAGGACAGGCTATCGATAGATGTTTTCTTCCCTGCAGGGGTGCACCAACTTACCCACCACGCTCGATTGACTCCGGCCGGACACACTTTCCAGGGTCATGCCCGGCCTCGGCCAAACAATACGCCGCAACCCGACCTAGACTTAACAGAGAGGTCAGCACGCCGGACTAAACCTATGCCCCCAGGGGTCATGGGCCATCTCCCCGGGAACTCCTGCACGTTGCGTGGGCGGCCGGTGAGCAGACCTAGCTACCTCCCTAAAAAGGCAGGAGCTTACCAGTCCAACCCGGCGCGCGCCGCTCCGTCGCTGACGTCTATTAAGCTTCGGCTGATGTACACGACGCAGAACGCCCATACTATGCCCACGTGATGGTTAGTGCTATCAGGCCAGAGGCCCCTCGGATCAAATATCCAAATCGTAGTGGATTAGGAACGCGCTGTAACAAGCAGAGACTCACGAAAGATGTGACCCCGTTGCCCCGTCTCGAGGACTTGCGGCAAGGGCTAAGAATGCCCGGCCACGCCTCGTAATTATCTCACGGGCACCTTCCAGGTCAACCCGTCTCCACATCACTTTCCAAGTAACAGTTGTAAAGTCCAAGTATCCGTGTGTCCAAACATCAAGAGGAAAACCCAAGGAATCACCCTCGGTGGGTTCCACTCAATGTAATCATCAAGGTGAACGTAGAGGAATCACCCTCGGTTCACACTTGAGGGGTTGCACGACAGAGTCGTATCGGAAGTGGTTAAAGAGGAAATCACCCTCGATGACCACGACCGAATAGCTACACTACAGGGTTAACATCAGAAGTGTTGTAGAGGTCTCACCCTCGGCACTCGATAGTAACCCAGTAGTGTCGAGCAACTAAGGGGAAAGTGATGTGCGGTGCCGGGGCCTGGTCTTCGATCCCGTTGATCGGGTCTTCAATGATGAAGCAGGGGCAACAAGGACAAGGTGGGGGTCACTGATGGATCACTAACCAACCTATACTAAGCAGTTTAGGATAAGCAGGTAAGGTACAACAGCAGATACAAAAGCAGGCTATGCATCAGAATAGGTGCAAACAATAACAGTAGCAAAATCTAATGCAAGCATGAGAGAATGGAATGGGCGATATCGGGATGATCAAAGGGGGGCTTGCCTGGTTGATCTGGCAAGGAGGGGTCGTTGTCGACGACGTAGTCGATCACCGGGGCATCAGCGGCCTCGGGGTCTACCGGAGAGAAGAGGGGGAAGAAACAGTAAATACATAGCAAACAGAGGTAACACTAAGCATGACATGGCGATACGTAACGCTAAGCGTGCTCTAACGCGGTCCTAGACGTTATAGGTGAAGGGGGAAAACAACCGGGAAGGTGTTCCCGGTTCCGGACCTGTGTCAGACAGATGACCGGAGGGGGAAAGTTCCATGTTCAGCATGCTAGGGGCATGTGACAGATGAACGGACCGCATATTCGGATTCGTTGGATTTTTCTGAGCAACTTTCATATAGAAAACATTTTCATCCGAGTTACGGTTTATTTTCTATGAATTTTTAAAGATTAAACCATTTTCTGGAATTAAATAAATTATCAGAAAGGTTTATTGCGTCAGCATGACGTCACAGCGACATCAGCAGTCAGCAGGGCGGCTGACCAAGTCAAACCTGGCCTGTGGGTCCAGCGGGACCCACATGTCAGCCCCTGCTAGCCTAACAGTGTAATAAACTAACTAATCTAGGTTAATTAGCTACTGGACCCCACCTGTCATAGCCTAATTGGCTAAACTAATTAGTTTTAATTATTAAAACATTTTAATTAGAGGATTAAGCGGTGGGGCCCGCACGTCAGTGTCACAGGGACGCCTAGTCAGCAAGTTGACTGGGTCAACGGTTAGCGGGACCCAGTGGCAGTGGCTCAGCGGCGTGGTCCAGGGTTGCCGCGTCAGCGCCCCGTCGGACAGCGACCGGAGTCGCGCCGGCGACCATTCCCGTGGCGGAAGTCCGCCGGAGATGGCCGGAAAACGGCTACAAGGCTCGGTTCGCCGCGTTTTCGGTCACGTTCGAGAGCTGGCGTCGGCGCGCATCGCCAGGTGCCACCGGTTGGTCTCGGGGAGGCTCGATACGACGACGGCGAGAACCTTAGCGGCCGCCGGAGTTCGGCCATAGGCGGGATGAGCGACAGAGGCCACGGGGATGGGACCTAGCGGCACGAGCGGCCGCGGTGAGGGGACCTGAGCACGTTCCCATGCTCGGGCGAGCCTGACAGCGACTACAACGTCGACGACGAGCTATGCGGCGGAGCTAGGTTCGGGCGGCGATGGCAGAGGCTGCCTTGGCGCGAGGAAGAGCACGGGGAGAGAGATAGGGAGGAGGAGCTCACTGGGCGCCTGTAGGTGTGCTCAGTGGGCTCGGGGCAGGCGCGGGGTGGCCAAATTCGACGCCGGCGTTCGTCGGAGCAGAGGAGGAAGAAGAGGTCATCGCGCTTGCTGTGGGGGCTCCTGGCTTGGTCCGGTGGTCGAGGAAGACGTCGCGGGGCACGACGGCGCTCGGGGATTCGTCGGAGAGGGCCGGGGACAGCGGTGGCCGCGGAATCAACCAACGCACGGCGACGGTGGCGCTCGGGAGGAGTGAGCGTGTGAGGAAGAGGGGAAAGGTGGATCTGGGGGGGAGAGGCGCAAGTGGGAGTGGGGAGCTGACGAGGCCAGGAGGCTCGGCCTTATCCCCTCGGCGCGAGCAGCGGGGTGGCGAGGTGGTCGGGCGGCGACCGCGCGGGCGCGTGCCTCGGTCGGGTGAACAGGGGAAGGGGACGACCGCGGGGAGGAGTGGGCTGGGCTGTGCACTGTAGCAATGGGCTACAAGTGCACAGTAGTAGCTAGGCCCTTTTCTATTTCCTTTTTTTTATAGAGAGAGAAAGGGAAATATTTGGCCAACTATTTCACTTAGCAAACATTTGGGAGGTGTCCCATTAAATCCCTGGTGATCATAGGCATTGCCACAATTATTTTGGAGACCAGAAGAATTCGTTTGTTTTGTTTTTTTTAAAAGGATAGCATTTAAAAATGCTGAATTGGTGCTGTTATAATTGCTAATGTTCATCTTTGCACCAAAGTGATGTTGTGTTCCTTACCAAATAATTGTTATGGAATTTTTGACAGATGATGAACATTTTTCCGGCAACTTTTGATCAACTTCAAACTTCACTTGAATTTGAATTGACTGGAATTTCAAATGGGATATTGGACAAAGATGATTAAGCACTGTTTGGATAAATGGTTAGCTTAATCACAGAGGGTTACTGTAGCATGACACTGGGGGTGTTACAAATCTCCTCCACTACAAGAAATCTCGTCCCGAGATTTAAGTGGGGAAGTAAAGAGTAACTTCGGGAGAACTGACCCTTATAGGGTTAATCATCTGGTGAACAAATCAGGGAATGAGGCGGAAGTATCT